TAGGTCTAGATTGGCATAAAAGCATTAAAATAATAATTTCTATATCACCATCTTTCAGGACTAACATCCTGAGCTGATATTTCCAGACCTCCCTCTTCCAGGATATTTCAGGGTACCTTAAATTTTTCTTAAGCCGTCTGTGCCGGTGTTTTTCCATCAAAGCCTGGATCTCCCTGGAGGCCTCCTCCTGAAAACACATGACCATAACACCACTCTAGGGAAAGAAAAAAAAAAAAAAACAAATGGCCAAAATACTTCAACCTGCTCCTTTTGATGTGGAGGAGCAGCGACTCCACTCCGAGCTCCTCTCTGATGGCTGAGCTGCTGAGCCTTCCTCCTCTTTACAGGAAGCGTCTCTCAGCCACTTGTGTGCTGAACCATTCTTTTCGTCACTTCCCAAAGAGCATGGCCACAGGTGGAGGAGTTCCAAGTTTCCCTTTCATTTTGTTTACAAGATATGGGGGGCGGGGGGGGGGGGGGAGATAATCAATTAACATGTTAATCTATTATAAATAATACATTTTTTATTACAAACATTGTACATTGAAGTGTTTAGATTAAATTAGCAGAGCATTTCTCCTGTTTGTGGTGACTTTTTTTTTTTTTTTTACATCAGCAGAAACAAACAGATTTTAAATTTTTTATTACATTATGTTGAAAAAGAGCAAAAGTGATTGACAGCAAAGAGTCTGGACAGGAAGATGAAGTGTGGTTCTTGGCCTGCTCTCAGGTGTCTTTGCCCTCTCTAAAGATGTGCGTAGATTGGTCTATTCACTGTTCTCAGGGGAGTGTATTGTGTGCAGTGTGTGTTTTGTGTGTCCGTGTGTCTAGCTCCAGTATGGCAACAGTCCTTTCATAACCATGGCAACTCACTGTTTGGTTTTTCCTCCTAACCCCCCCCTCCCTTCCATCTCCTCTCCTCTCCAGGTATCCAGTCACATCCAGGTCTTGGCTAGAAGAAAATCCAGGGAGTTTCAGTCCAAGCTAAAGGTGAGCCATAATGTTTGCAGAGGATGATGAAATCCTCTGGTTCACAGGAAGTGGTTTGCAATCCGTTAGTTTAGAACAGCTGATCAGGAAAGAAATGATGACTCTGAATCGTCCACAGAAACCCAAATAAGTTTTTCTTTGTTGTTGTTGTTGTCTTCGGCACAAAATCTAAATTCAGCGTTCGTCTCTCCTTGTGACTGGAAAGATGCCTGTCTCAGTGACTCCAGTAACCGTGGTGTCTAATTAGACCCGTTTAGCTCTTTCTTTCTTATCTCCTCCTTCCTGTCATTCTTCTCCTTCTTTACATTCATCCATTCGTTTCTCACCTCTTTCCTCCATTCTCCTCCCTCAGTCTGTTAATCTCGTCTTCCTTCTCACCATCTTTCTCTTCTCTTTCTCCCTCGCTACTGGTTGTAATCAACTTTATGTAAAAACAACAAGGGGGAGCTCGTTTTCCCAGAAGGCTGAACAAAAGCGTCAATTGATATTTACCGTCGTAAAATAAATAATAAAGAGGGAGTAAAGAATATTAGAGCTGATCTGGATCAGAAGCAAACTAGTTATGGATCAGGGAGTACGCTTGCAAACAATAAATGCTTGTGAAAATGTAGACTGGTGGAGGAAAAAAATACTTTAGGATTTCCTTTCAGACATATTTTACTTCTTCGTTTTTATATGTAAAATTAACATTATAGTGACAGAAGCACTCATTAAAAGACCGAACACAACCCGCCACCTTGTCTGCAAACGTTTTAAACAAAGACCTTGTGTGATCTGTTAGTGCTCAGAGTATGACTTTCAGCTACTACCACACCAAGTTTTAGCTCAAGATCTGTAAAATGACTTTTTTTATAGCTGTTTTAATTTTTACTAACTTTACCAGATGTGCAATACACCAGTCAATCATCAGTTAATCAGTTAATCAAACCAACCTCAAGCCAAGGTAACATTTACAGTATATATACAGTATATAGATACTTTTGTTTTCCGTTGCCAACAATTAAAAATTCCAATAAACCCTGAAAATATTGTTTTTTTGTAAATTCATAACCGTACATAAACGAAAGAAAAGCACCAAATATCGAAAACATTGATATATTCGATAGACTGTAATTGTGGGAAATGTATATAAATATTTTTATTGTCCAACATCATAACTGTGAAAATGTTCACTGTGCTGCTCAACTTTATTATTATTATTTTAATAAAACTTACAAAAATTCATAATTGTGTCATGTTATTTTACTCGATAGTCAAAATAGATGTTTAGGCTTCTGGAAATATTCAAAATATTAATAAATTTGCAATAATCTTCATCTAAAATTCAAGCAGGAAGTATAAACACACTGACGTATCATTTTTAAAAACCTTAAAAAAGGTTTAACAAAGTAGACCCACACACACATTTATTTCTTTTTGCTAAAACACATCAGCTGTTTGTTCTTAGGTTCAGGTGAAGGATTCAACCGTACGGTTCTTGAGTTTAATATAAATCCATCTCAGTCCCTCCTTTAATGTTATTACTCCTCCCAGGAGGAGAGATTTCTCTCTGTGCCAATTAACGTGAGCGAAGCTGCCAATTAGTAATTCTCCAGCTATCGCAGCGCCTCTAATTCCATTTCTTTCAGCTCTTTTCTGCTCCATGTTGTTTTGAGTTCAGATTTTACAAATGAGCCTGTAAGTTTAATGTCTCTGTAAATCTGCATCACGCGACTCTTCGCCCGGAGGCAGCTGCTCCAGCAGCTGATGTTCCCCTCGTCTCCTGAAGCTCGGTCAGATCTGTGGATCACTTTCTGCACACACAGAGTGCTGCTACAGTGTTTGTGTGATTTCACCTTTTACCTCGCGCTGTTTTCACTTTTCCATGCGGCTTTTGCAATCGATGTTTTAGCCGATCAAATATCAAAATGTTCAGCACGTTCAGGAGACCGATGCTATGACTTACTGTAGTTTTTGCATCATTTATACCTTTCAAAATATTTAATTACAAACTTTTTTTTTTTAAATGTCATTTTTGAAATTTGCTTCAGCAAACTTGCTCTATTGTTGCTTTCTTTTGCTCCTTTTAGGTAGTACTCTGATTTTAGCTCCTATTAGCTAGCCTCTTCTGTTAAGCTTCTAGCACTTTGATACTTTCAGCTGGCTTTTTGCTACTTCAAGCTTACAGCTGTGATTAGCTTTTAACTAGTATTTAAAAAACTAACTCCTATTTGCTAGCCTTTTGCTACTTTTAGCTTTGAACTAGCCTTTTGCTACTTTTAGCTTTGAACCAGCCTTTTGTTATTTTTAACTTCAAGCTAACGTCTTCTGTTAAGCTTCTAGCTAGCCTTTTAAAACTTTTAGCTGGCTTTTTTATTGCTATTGTTTCTTTTAGCTAGTGTTCTGCTTCTTTTGGTAATATTAACTCAGTTTCAACTTCTTCAGCAAATTTATTCAGCTCTCAGCATTTATGCTGCATTTTCACAAAATATGCTATTTATCTATTTGCAATTATTCCTCCAATTTTTTTGTCTGTTTTGTTTTTTACAAACTGACTGTGGTGCAGTGTGTGTGTGTGCAGTGTTATACCGATAATGTTTTGGATGTGTGTGTTCCCGTCCAGGACCAGAACGCCAAGGAAAAGGCTCTGCAAAGCATCTCGTCCATGTCCTCGGCTCAGATCGTGTCGGCCACGGCCATACACAGCAAGCTGCTGCCTGGGATCGTTCGCGCCAGCTTCCCTGGCAATGCACAGGTAAGACACACACACACAGTCACATATTGCAATAATTAATAAATACTGTACAAACAAATACAGGGGGAAAGAGACGTTTTGTATAATCTAGTGACATATATGCAGTTACAGGTGATGGCACACATTTTTGTTTTCATGTGTGTGTGTGTTTTCAGCTGTGGCAGGGGATGATTCCAGGAGGACAATCCAGCTCCACCACAGAGGAGTGAGTCACGCTCAGATGATCAATTCCCATCTAACTTCCTGCGTTGCTATCAGCATTTAACTCGGATTAATGGGTAGTTTTACGTTTGCGTCTAAATTCACCAGAACACGGAGGAAAGGGCTCTGCAAACCATCTCGTCCATGTCCTCAGTCCAGAACAGAAGTCTGTCTCGTACTGGTTTTGAATCTGGATCTGTTCTGAACTGAATTTGGGTTTATTTTTAATATGGCAGATTATAAATTTTCATTCATAGAAACAGTTTAGGTGATAACATATAACAGTTCAGTTTGGTTTCATAAAATATATTTTTTTAATAGAAACCCTTATTTAGTTGTTTTTTTCTTTGTGGAGGAAAGACATTTATTTCCCCGTCTGATTAATTAGCATCTGAATGTACCATTAGGCTGTTTCTGCACATGCATGATAACCCGAGCTGATTATTCAGAAAGCATCGATGTGATTAACTCGCACGAGATCTGTCCTCGTACAGAAAAACACTGATTACCTCGTCATCGTCAACACAATACCCACCTGTAGAGTTTAAAATGAGGTAGAGATCTTAAATCGAGCCTCCTGCCGGTTCCTTCTCTTACATTAGTGTCTGTTCACGTGGCTCGTGGCGTGGCTGCATGTGCATGAGATGATGATAATGGTAGTAAATGGGGCTGTGAAGCTTTTACTGAACTCAGAGCTGCTCTTGACCTCTGAGCTCCTGCTTCTCTTCATACAAGACACAGAGCAGAATTCTTTTTTGTATAATGTGGCTACAATGAGACCAGTCTCTTCTTCTAGTCTTTTTTTTTAATGTTTAATGGCTTCTCGTCTGTTTCTCGTCTCTCTTCCTCTCCCAGCATCAAGCCGTTCTCCCAGCAAGCCTACTCTGTGCAGACGGCAGGGACCACCACAATCACAGGTGAGAGAGACCGCAGGACAATTACCTTCTTTCTGCCAGTAACCCCCCGGCCATCGATGACGTGTCCTCACCACAGGGTGGTTTTGACTCTGCTGGGACACCCGGGTCTCTAGCTCCCCCCCATGTCTCACAAAGAGGTCAAACTGAGAGAATCTGTAAGCTCTTTCACAACACAGCTCAGACCGGGACTTCGATACCTTCTGGTCGCCTCTGTGTGACTTCTGAATATACCGAGACGGTGAGGGGGGCTGAAGTAAGTTCGTCCCTGATGCCTGCGAGGTAGTAACAGAGGCGAAACAGCCAACGTGTAAAAGGGAAGTTGATATAGTGGATCATTGTGATTTATTCAGTTATTTAGACAGGCAGCGTTTAAATTAAAAGTTTATAGAGGATCTTGTTTTGCCCCCCCCCCGACTCAAACAAATGGCCCCTTGATGCTCGGACTGCTGAGTCCATCCAATTTTTAAATCCATTCTGAAAATTCGCTTTTATCCAGGTTCAGTTCGAGTCCCATCAGGACTTTTGTGATCTGCTGTTTTCTGTTTGAGTTTGTTTTGAGTCACTTTTATTGTGTTTGTTGTTTTTTATGGGCGATTTGATTAAACTGGGCACACTTAGAAAAATAGATTTTTCTTCTAAGTGAGTTATTCTTTCTGGTTGAATTGAGGTTAAATAAATAAGACACATTTTATTTGATTTTTTTTTTTATAGCTTTTCTGTTATGTAACTTGTGAAGGACTTTGGGCAACCCTTTTATTTTTTAAATGCGGTATCAAAATAAAATTGACATTGACATTTATTATGGGATATAGAAGAAAGAATGTCTTTCAAGTTTGCCTGGAAAGGGCTAGATAATAGCTTCATTTGGGTTTGGAAAAGGTTTTTTAAACCCATGATAGAATTCAGGATTTTTTTTTTCTTCACACTTTGCAAACTGTACCTTTTTAAGAAAGCATCCGGCTCGAAGGACCAAAAATGTTGGATAAAATAAACATCCTTTCATCATCTCTTTACTCAAATAAGCCACTCTGAGGATACAAGAAGATTTTTTTTAGATCTGTTTACTCCTTGTTAGGGGGCAGAGTTCATACACAAGCTTACACAGATGTTACATTGAAGCTCCGGTCACGAGATCTGCCCACGGACAGTATAAAGAAGTGCTTTTTAATAATGCTTATCAGACAGAGACGAAGTCAAGAAAACCTCTGCTTTCCAGCTTACAGATGACGGAGAAGGCCTTGGAAGTTTATCTAAAAGGAACCTGCAGGCAGACAAAGCAACTCTCTTAACATCATGTAACATGAGTTACTTTTACTGATAAACATCCATAACCTTTACCTAAATTCCCCTGGCAATAATGTTCATCAGTGGAAAGATGGCGACCTATTTAAAATCGTTCTTGAGTGTCAAACCCTCTTACCTGTCTTTTTGTTTCTGTAATGTAAACACATGCAACACACGTTCCAGCTACCACTACCTGTGCGCTTGTTCGTTCTGATCATCATAAACTGTGTTTGTGTGTCGTCCAGCCTACGAGCCTCCCGCTGCCGCACAAACGCACCGAGAGCCGGCGTGGCAGGGTCGCTCCATCGGCACCACCAAACTACGACTGGTGGAGTTTTCATCTTTCCTGGAGACGCAGAGGGATCAGGAGGCAGTGAGTACACACACACACACACACACACACACACACACACACACACTCCAGTGTACAATAAGCACTCCCTATTGTCCTATAAACAGAGATGACAGATAACCCTGCAGCAGAGAACAGCATTAGAGCCCTTTGTGTGCCTCCTCGTATGAATAACCTTTGTAAAGCTCTATCTCTCCGTCTGCTCAGTCTATCTGTCATCTTGCCACGCCGTGGATTCATTGTCATTTTTCTACCTTGGGCTTACAGACAGCTGGCATTCATCTTGTTGCTTTCTGTTTGGACAGTACATAAAAATGTTTTACAATGACTTTGAAACAGCATCTATTGTGTCGTGTTTTGTGCATGATTTACTCTGCTGTAAAAGGAAAGAAAGGGGAACGCTTGAAAAAAAAAAAAAAAAAGTCCTTAAAAGCAAAAAGCGTGGCATTTATGTAAAAAATTTACAATTCAGATCTGCTGGTTGGACAACAAAAGCAGATCCAGCTGTAAAGCTTTCAGTTGTTATTTCTGAACAGACTGATCGGTGCTTTTCAACAAATTTTCTCCTTTTTTTCACCATTATCATAATGAAATCCAGTAAATCGTTCATGGTTTTTGTCTGCAAGTTTCACCTCACGATGCCGCTCATAATAAAACCTGATCTCAGAACAGTCGCTCTGTTTCCTAACATCAGGTAAACCCGAAGCCGTTCAGAAACGAGTCGACGTATTCTCAGAAGAAACGCTACTCTCAATCAACAGTTTGTTAAAATCAATCAACCTTTATTTATACAGGTAAATCCCATTGAGCCTCGAGGACTCATTTACAAGAGAGACCTAATTGCAACAAAGAAAGATGACAACATAAAATATATATAGGATCATAATCATTAGTGTTGGAGTTGGAGTTAAATAGTCATCAGTCCCAAGTGGAAACATTGTTGTAGAAACTGCAAAGTGAAACTTGAATATTAAGTGGAAATAAAAAATAAAAAAACGGCGAGCCTCAGCATTTACTTCATCATGGAGGAACATGAATCTATTTGAAGGTAAAAACCTCCTGAGCTGTTGACAAACGCTGTCATGGGGGAGTCTCCAGGATGTTGAGACGTTTGTGACGGTTCATGATTTCTGACAGAGGCGTGCAGTCCTGCTGCTTGAGCTTTCAACTAAGGATGTGCTATATGGCATAAAATTCATATCCCGATATCTATTGTGATGGGTGGCGGTAATGATATATATCATGTTTTTGGTATAAAACTTGTAATAGGAATGAAAAAAAAAAGCATAGGATGTCATTTTGACATCATTTATTTTGAAAACTGCTATACCACAACATAATCTCAATTAAGAAAATTCAACTGCTTGGTCCAGAGACTTATTAAATAAAAAAACAAATCAAGTATTAGGCTTCTTTATTGTAGTGCAAAACAGTGCAAAATACATCAAATGTAGTTTTAGCCATATGTTTTAAACAAAATAATATGTTGTTAACTCTTTTAACAGTTTTCAGTCTTCTCACTTAAGAAATGAACAGCAACAGAGCAGCATTTTACACTGAAAACACTTCATCCTCCAACCCTCTAGTGGGCGTCTCCTTCCACTTTAAAGAGAGCTGACACAAAATGGCGACCAGTTTCCTCTGTGGCTTTGACCAGAGGGTCTCGCAGTAACACAACACAGCGTTCTTTTCACAGATCAGAGAGCAGGTTTCTCTAAAGCTGACCAACTTTAACTTTCGATGGAACGCAGCGTTTTGCGCATGCGTCTGAATATGGCAACAGTACGGCAAGCCGGCCGTAGTTAGCTTGTAGCTTTGCTACTTAGCTCTCTCAAAAAAAAAAAACAGATTTTAGCATAATTTATGCACAGTTTTCAACTCAATAAAATGTAACTGTTATATCTGACAACTCAGATTTTACATCAGACACAGCATTACTGCGGTTAGCCGGTAGAAAGTCAGGTCTCTCTTGTAAATGAGTCTCCGGGACTCAATGGGATTAACCTGTATAAATAAAGGTTGAATGAAAAAATAAAGAAGACAGATCTCTATCAGAGGCTAAATGTCTATAGTTTCTAGCGTGTACTGCATATATCGCGCAGTCCTATTTTCAACAGGTTTAGGACATTTGTGCAACAATTCCTCCCAAAACAGTGACAGAAAACATCCGAGGCAAACGTTCAGGTCTAAAAACAGCACAGATGATAAAATCTGCCCGTCATCATTTTAAATGAGGATTAAACCATTAATGTTGTGGCTGTACCGGTGGACAACAGAACAACGTGCACGAGCAAGAATGCACTTGTGCACAAAAGCAGGTCATGAGTTTTAGAAACCGGCTGCTCAGAATGAGGCTTTGCTGTTTGCAGATTTCAGAGGGACCATTCTGGAAAATGTGCTGGTTTTAAGATGTCAGTGGTCTCAGACCAGTCAGATACGACGTTCAGTGCTTCAGGTTGATGATGTGGAGCATTAAATGTCTTTGTTCCAACAGGATGTTTAAATCCAAATGATCTGTTTTCCATCTGTTCAGACTCCTCCTGGCTGCATCAGATTGTTTGTTCTCCTCTTCTCAGTACAACAAGCACCTGTTTGTGCACATCAACCAGAGCAGCCCGAGCTACAGCGACCCGCTGCTGGAGTGTGTGGACATCCGGCAAATCTACGACAAGTTCCCCGAGAAGAAGGGCGGCCTCAAGGAGCTGTTCAGCAAGGGCCCCCAAAACGCTTTCTACCTGATCAAGTTCTGGGTGAGGAACGACTTCCTGTTCACTTCAGCTCATCTCTTTTATCGTTTTCTTCTTCTTCCATCCATCCATCATCTTTACCTGCTTCTTCGTTTTCGGGTCACTTGTGTCCATGTCCAGCCGTCACTGTGCGAGAGGCGGGGCACACCCTGGACATGTCTCAGTCCATCACAGGGACACAAAGAGACAAACAACCATTCACACCTAGGAACAATTTAGAGTTACCAATCAGCCTAACACGCATGTTTTGGGTCTGTGGGAGGAAACTGGAGTACCTGGAGAAAACCCACACATGCACAGAGAGAACATGCAAACTCCACCCAGAAGGGTCCCCGGACTGGGATTTGATCCGGCAACCTTTTCGCTGAGAGGAGGCAGCTCTATCAACTGAGCTTCTTAATTTTATTTCAACACTTCTGGTCATCATGGAGAAGAAGCCCAGTCTTTACTCTGTACTTTTCCATGCAGGGTAATGTCTTTGTCTGCACTCAGGTGTGTGTGTGTGTGTGTGTTCTGTCTTTCCACCTGGGATATAGAGGTGGTGGGTTGATGAAAGCTCAGTCGCTTTGTTTGAACACCTGCTCACCTCCTGACTCAGGGGTTGTGTGTTCCCACCTGTGTGTGCGTGCATGTGTGTGCGCGCACGTGCGTTGCTGTTCTTTCTCGGAGCTGCTCCAGGCTACATCTTAAACACGAAAACTGGTCTCAAATGAACATATTTGTGACACGCAGCTGACGCTTAGGTTACAGCAGCTCAGCTTCAACGTTAAGCTGTTGAGGATTTGATGAGGAACAAACAAAAAAGGTGTTTTGGACTTTTTACACGCTGGGCGTTAAACAATACATCTTGTCAAAACGTATCCAAACACGATGCCTTGAAAAATTATGTTTTGTGCATGAAAATGTGCGAAAAGTTCAGATTTATTACCATAAATCGGTTTATCGGTTTCTCATGCAAGTATCAGCCGATTTCCCAAAATTAAGTAAACCGGGGCTGATAAATCAGTGCACCCCTACCCAGGATGTTTATTTTATTAAAAACAGACAGTCAGTTTAAAAAAGGACGACTACACACAACCTTGAAGTCTCCAAAATAAAGCAAACTGGGAGGATTTTGAACATTTTCGAAGCTTCATCATGTTTCATGTCTGAGGTGAATGTTAAAAAACATCAGGATTTCACATTTTCACTTCCAACTGAAAAAAAGTCCTGTTGATGTTCAGAAGTGTTGAATTTGATTCGTTTGACCAACTTTTACAAATAAGATGTTTAAATAACAACACGCCTCTTCCTTGTGCAGGAATCTTCACCCCCGGTTGTTAAAAAGAGGCTTCTTCTCCTGATCCAGGGTCAGTTCGGGAACGGACGTTTGTTTTTATCAACAGCTGAAAACTTCTGAGCTGTTGCTGATTTGTTTAAATGTGAAATAAAGTATTAATTTTATGGTACTTTATCACAAAACAAGGGCAAAGTTTGACTTAAATTGATATAAAAGAACGATTAGAGCCGGTTGGTCTTATTGGATATCCTCCTGAAATTAAAAAATACATTTTATCTGTAACTTGTTGCTGGTTTGGATCCTTCCTGTGGCAGATTAGAATTGAGGAGTGAAGAGTTTCTCATGATGAAGATGACGTCACCCTCTGATTTAAAGCTAACCAGCCCGCGGATCAGAAGCAGCTAATGAAACCGTTGTGGCTCGTGGGGAACATTTATCGATTCTTAGCGCTTTATGAGAGGAGTAGATGCTCTTTAAATGGAGGCAGACCCTAGAGACCATCAACACACCAAGAGATACTCCCGTCGGACGATGAAAGACTACGTGTATATTTTACCAAGTTTTAAAAGATGGACTTGATGCGCTCCAGCGTTCATAATGAGCCAGGACATGGCCATAACACCAAGATTAAATCAAATGTATTCATCAACGACATTTAAAGCAACCAGAGTTGATCAGGAATAAACCCTAGATTAACAGATATTAATAAAAATGTACTCCATTCAAAAGAACAATATGTATATAACATACAAATATCAGTAGAATACATAAGATTACTTGAAAAAAGCACTGAGAAAGTATTGCAATTGAAAACCTAAGACAATGAATCAGCTGGTTTTAATACAGAACACTCGTACTTTTTTTTTTTTGGAGTGGGGCGTGAACAGCTTTAATAAGAAGTTAGAAGGTTCTGAAAAGAATCATGAAAAGTCAGACAGAGTCGTATGAATTTGTGGAAAAAGCTTTTCTCTTTGGAAGGCGGACATCTTGGTACGGTCTGTCTGTAAACTTTCTCTTGTCCCGCCCATAACTTCTGATCTGCTCAATAATTTAATGAAGACATATGTATCATCACCGTGCGGAGTGTTGCAGACACTTTTAATTACCCCAGCTCTAAGGTCAAGGTCACAGATCAAGGTTATACGAGGTCTTTGCTCGTCCAGGTCGTTGCTTTAGATTGCTGTTTGTCGATGGACGTATTATGTGCCGTCTGCGGTAGTTTTATTTTTTTCTTTTAAATATGTTAAAATCTGTCTCGTCTTGTCAGGAGTGTCCTGTTGCAAAGAAAACTGCAGCTTTCTTTTAAAATCTCTGGAATAAAAAACCTAAATGTTTAAGGGTGCAAAACACAGACAGAAACCTCGTCTGCAGCTCAGATTGATTCGTTTGTTTGTGGGAATGAACGATGCTGTGGACCCTTGAACCTGATTTCTGCTCACTGTTTCAGTAAGACGGTCTTGATGGTTACTGTTGCCAAGCAATAACTGAAGAGACGCTGCTTTGGGGGGGTGGAGCTTATCAAAGCGCTGGACGAAACGCAGACGAGGTTGTGAAGCTGACAGACAGTGAAGATCATAAACAGGAGGGCGGTGGAGTGGGTTTAGTGTACAACATCTCGTGTTTTTGAGCCTCAGATCCACCGCAATGGAGTCTGCTGCTGTAACAGCTGAAGTGTGTGTGTCGGCGGCGGCTCAGCATATGGTGCTTGTGTGTGTGTTTGCTCACAGCTGAAAAACACACACTGCTCCTGAAAGAAATCATTAAAAATGGGACAACCCCACACACACACACACACACACACACACACACACACACACACACACACACACACACACACACACACACACACACACACACACACACACCTGTAATCCAGGTACAGCACGTCCTCGCTGCTCTGATTCAACATTTTCCAGCTTCACAGAAACATTCTTGAGTTTTATTTTATTCATTTCTCAGGAACATGTATACAACTTGTAATACGTTTTTCAGGGGTCGCTTCAAGATTTAAATGTGGTAATTTTTTAGTCGTGGAATCGTGTTTTATTCAGTTATTTTCTGCCTTTAAATGCTTCTACAGCAAGACAAAATATACAAAACATTTAATAAGTAACGACCTGCTTTAATTGGTGTGATTTAATGTAATTGTTGCAGTGCCGAGTAAATTTAAACACGTGAGAGAGCGGTTGAGAGCTGGAAAAAAAAACTAGTTGATTTTTTTTTTTTTTTTACCAGAGTTTTACTGTTAATTAAAGTATTAACTGTCCAGGAAGGGACGGAAATCGTATAAATACTGCAAATAAGATTGAAATAAGCAGAAACAAAAACTTGAACTTGACCTTGTTTATTTTAAGGGACAAACAAGTGATTAACTCTTCAATAATCTCAGGTATTTAATATCAAATCATAATTGGATTATAAAGGATTTAAGCAGATGGTGCAGTGCCTGTTGCTGCCAGCAGAGGGCGGTGTTCTCCAACCGTCAGTGCTTCTCGTCACGTTTGTTTCAACATTTCAGGTGATGTTTTTGCTCTGCGGTGTTGCAGGCGGACCTGAACTACGTGCAGGACGACCCGGCAGCGTTCTACGGCGTCACCAGCCAGTACGAGAGCTCGGAGAACATGACCATCACCTGCTCCACCAAAGTCTGCTCCTTTGGCAAGCAGGTGGTCGAGAAGGTGGAGGTGAGGATGAGCGTCACGTCTTTTCTTTTTCTAATCTCCCAGAGACGTTTAAAGATTTTTTTTAAGGGTATTAATTTTAATTGTATGTATAAGACTCTACAGTTTGTGCAACAAACTATATAAAAAGTTACATTTTTGTTGGGCCTACAAGATGCAGAAGAATAAAGTAAACCACAAGCTGTTTGTTTCCCACGTCTTATGTCAGAATGGTTCAGTATTTAATCAGCCAGAAACCAGGGATCCTTAAGAGGCTGAGCTTTAACCCACTTCCTTCTCTTTTCTCTGACAGACGGAGTACGCGAGGTTTGAAAACGGGCGCTTCGTCTACAGAATCAGCCGCTCGCCAATGTGCGAATACATGATCAACTTCATCCACAAGCTCAAACACTTGCCTGAGAAGTACATGATGAACAGTGTGCTGGAGAACTTCACTATTCTGCTGGTGAGGGCATCAGTCAAGCTGGGGCGGTGCAGTTCTAGATATTTTATTTTAGCCTTTTTAACCCGGCTGGGTGTGTGTGTGTGCAGGTGGTGAGCAACAGAGACACTCAGGAGACCTTGCTGTGCATGGCGTGTGTGTTCGAGGTGTCCAACAACGATCACGGAGCGCAGCACCACATCTATCGACTCGTCAAGGAATAACGCACTCACTCTCTCAGAAACACACAAATATGGCCTTTGCTTTGTTACTGGTGATGCTGGAAGACAGAATAGATGCGTACAAAACAGATCCCACATCTGTACGAAACTTCAGCTGATGCAGAAAAGAAATGGCTGCATTACTAAACAGATAATAAAGGGGTGATCGTTAACGTCTGGATACGGCGCCGTGTCCTGCAGTAACCTCCTCTACGGGACAAACGAGACGCAAAAATCTCTTCCACAAACTGCCCATCAGTAGCTCGTTAGCTGTTAAAAAAAAAAAAAAAAGAAAGAAAGCAAGCACAGTGACAGCGCAGCCATGGAAACCAATCAGAATCTACCCGGGTGGTTTTCTCCGAGAACATCGTGACTCTGGTATCGCCAGGAGATGTCACGTCTCCCGTTAATTGGTTTCTTCCACTTGAAGCACATTTGAATTTTGCTGCTGTGGCGATGGAAATGGAAGAAGGGCTTCTGTCATGTGCTTTTGGGAAAAAAATCAACAAAAGGACCAAACATCTCAGTTTTAACCCCCTCCCTTGTTAAAAAGTGTCGATGCACACTGAAGGTCAGACCCTGTGTATCATCAATAACCAGAGGAAACAACGTTTCTGCGTTATTAGAGTTGATTTGTACAGAAAGACACGGTAAATAGAGCGAGCCGAATTCTTGCACCGGTCGAGTTTGTCCCAAAGAATTGAATTTTTACCTTTTTGTATGTTTTCTCTAAAAAATAAAAAAAACTTACAGAAAATAAAACGTATTAACTTTGAGAAACTGTTTATTGATCGTAGCAAATAGATTATATTTTGATTCCACGATCGTATCTTAAATTTTTTTTGTTTTTTTGGTTAAATTATAATTTAAAACGTTCAGGTAACTTTCTGTGCAGCCGGTGACTCTTCATTCAGATTTATGTGGAAATTATAATCCTTCAGATTTCAGTCCACGTTGAAGCGGCAGCATCTCTGAGCGGCGACTTGTTGGATTCTTGTCTCGGGACGTTTGCGGGGAGTTGCGGAGACTCACCGTTTTATTGCTTGAATACAGAGTCTCGAATTATTCTGGTGCGTCTTCAGCCATTTTAAAATATTTTAACATCCTCTGACAGAAATCCAGGCCAAGTCTTAAAACCATGTCTGTGTATTACAGCAGATTCGTCCAGAAAGGGCTAATTGATGTTAAGAGCGCAACAAAACATTTACTTAACAAGCACTAGTGTCAGCTGTTTATGCTGCTGTTGCCTGTTTCATGTTTTGTTGAAAACTGTCCTTTAAAGAGACCTTTAGCGGAAAAACCCTCTAATAAAGGCTTCAGGCACAGAGACCTGTGCTGCTACTAATTCAGCCAGCTGGAGAGCTTTGAAAGTGACTTTATTTTCACAGTTCCAGTAGCTCAGCATCCTGGGGTTTGTCTGTGTCCTGACAGTAAAGCTCACCCGCAACCATAGATTTTTTTTGTAATCCTTTCAAAATAAAGGTTTTATTATTATTTTTAAAATAATATTTTTTTAGAAGGTTGTGTGTTCAGTACCCAGACCAGAAAAGCTCTGTAGTGACACACAAAGTTGTTTTTTTACAAAGAAAAACAAAATGACAAATTAACAAACGATTAAAAAAACCTTAAAGCTGAAAATCGTAGTCCATCCCTGCTACGTAGGCGAAGGTGGAAGACAAAATAATGTGCACGGCCTAGACTACAGCAAACTATGCACACAAAAAGAAGCCGTGGTTTTCAAAAGTTGTTAGCGCAAAGCAACTCCGTCTGTTGGTTGGATCAGTGAGTTCAGACTGAACGATACATGTTGAGTATTTTTTTTTTAAATATCGAGTCAGGTCTCCAACAGTTGCAGTCCAGTGAAGTACTACCTTGACGTGCCTGTGACATCAAATATTTGTAGCAAATATGAACGCATTTTTGGAAAGAGAGCAGATTTTTAAGCGCCTTGTACCACATAAAATTGGTTCGAGGTCAGTAAGCCCAACCAGAATTAATATACAAGGCGCACCGGATTATAAGGCTCACTGTCAATTTTTGAGAGAATTAAAGGATTTTAAGTGCAACTTATAGTCCAAAAAATACTGTAATATTGTTTCAAGAAACAAAGACCCTTTGATGTCACTTCCTGTTTCACTTTGGCCAAGTTCAAAAGGAAATATGGCAGTTATGTGACAAAATCATGTATATTATGACACATTTCTTAAATATTAAGATGTTTTCTTCCAATTTTTGTATTTGTAGGAAATGTATGTCTCAGGCACTTTAAAGAGATGAAATGTTGCTGTAATCTAAGCAAAGATGACTGAGATCTGAGGATTATAAATCTGAACATACTGTTACGAGTCCTTTTTAAAGCACTGTGAGTTTTTAGACACTGCGCAGCATCGTTCCTGGTGTCCCAACACAGAAATGTTTCGCTCCAGTAAGGTTCGAGTTCATCGTTGTCATGGTTAAAGTTTATTTAGACCATGGAAGCGGACCTGTCCATTCTGCCAGACGCCTGAAGCGTTCCACATGTTGGATTTCTGTCCGGACTAGAAGCCTTATTAGCATCTCGTGTGTCGGGATCTTAGTTAAAATAAAAGAGTTTTCTTCCAGTCGTGTAACTCCACGTCAGAGCAAAACTCGTTTATGAATCAGAAACCAAAAAGCGTTGGCGTGTCGTCTGTGTTGTGCTCAGCAGCATGAAGTGCCTTTGGCTGCAGACATTTCAGTTCTGTTTCGCTGACGTTCTGACGAGTCCGTGTTGTGGAACGTGTGTAGACACAAATAACTTGTAGCAAGACAAGAACGGAGTTTGGTCCTTGAGTTTGTGTCTTTTAGCCAAATATCCAAAGCCTAATATTTAATGAGTGTTCTTTGTGTTCGACGGTAAAGCACTGGATCATCCCGACAGATTCTTCTTAAAGATGTCAGCATCACGTACACTTTCTGTTCGTTTGGTATCTAATGATGGTGTTTGCTTGTAGTTGTGTTTTCCATGTGTTGCACACTTGGTGTTATCTGGTGCCTCGTTCAAAACCTGCTACTGCTTAAAAGAACTGGTCCATTCTGTGTGAGCCCGTCCAGTAAATCTTCATGGGAACGTTAAGAACACGTTCGAACGGTTTCCTTAATAGAGGCCTTTAAGCGAAAACAGTTTAAACTAGGAAAATATAAATTTAAATATTTAATTTGTGTGAGGAAAACTAAGGTTCGTTTAACGACTGATGATGTTTTGTTTCACAGTAAAAAAAAAAAAAAAATCCACTTTTTCCCCTAAAGCAGGGATTCCCAACCCTGGTCCTTGCGGAACACCATCCTGCATGTTTTAGTTGTTTCTCTGCTCTGACACACCTGCTTCTAATTATTGGGTGATTAACAGGCTTCTGCAGAACACGCAGGAGTAATTAGATCATTGAATCAGGTGTGTTGGAGCAGGGAAACAACTGCAGGATGGTGTTCCTCAAGGAACAGTGTTGGGAACCACTGCAAAGTACTTCACATGTTAACAGGAAGAAAAACTGTAAAACTCGCCCGAACAACAGATTCAAACCCGGTAGAGAGAAAAATAAATGGATTTAAATCCACACACTGGCAACTTTAATACACATCTGAGTTTGTTTTCAGGTAAATAAACAAACAAACAAAAAAAAACATACAGCCGAGGTAAAAATAAGATTTAAATAAAATTAGTTTCACTAATTTTTTAATTTCAAATATTTATGAATCAGTAAGTGGACTTGAAGTGTCCCAAATGGAAATGTTCTTGAATTGTTTTATTTAAACACGCCCAACAACAAAATCCTCTGTAAAGAACTAAAGTCCACGCTTCCCTTGAAGGAATGCTTATCACCCGCCGGGTGTTAGACTACGATAATCCTACGTTGAAAAGATTAGTTCTTTTGGTCTTAAACATCATAATATGTCACGTGTTTTTTTTATGGGAACTTCTAGTGCTCAGATTATGTTGGGGATGACTCTCAGACACTACCACACCACATTTCAGCTCAGTATCTATAAAACCCTCCATTTCTAGTCATTTGTGTGTCGGCTAAGGTTGATTGATGTGGCAGCCATCTTGAATTGGTTTAACTCTACAAGTTAGTTACTGATTCACATTAAATAATAATGATTACCAAGTATTTTGTTAAAATCCATCCAGAGATTTTTGAGATATCTTGCTAACAGTACAAAAACAACCGGCTGATTTTACATCCTGTTTTTTTTTTTTTTAAGCTGCTCCCTTCTGCAGGCATCAAATGAACTCACGAAACATTTAGCCTTTGTTTAGCCTAACATTTAGAAAGGATTGAAAAACGATTTAATTTTCAATCAGGTGAGCTTAAAGCAGTTGAAGATAAAATGAGGTGCCTGTAATTGAGTAAGGTCCAGAGATTTTCATATGTAAAACAAAATAAAGCAAAACTTCACATGGTTATATCCAGAGGGAGCAGCTGTGCGAGTCCTGAGGATCCAGAAACTTTAGTCCTCTCTAATCGTTCCACCCTGACTTTCTGTTCACACCGTGGTCTTTAGTTGGTAGCCGGACTGCGGGTTATTCACACTGAGGCGCTAACGCGTAACGTGTCGGCGCTAAGCTAACGGGCTGCTCTCCTCTTCTATCACCTGCTTACCAAAGACAGTCATCATGTGACATGAAACACAGAAGATAAGGGCGGAAATGAAGTGATATGAGCTGAGAAGCTGCAGGAAATGTACATTTGAAGACATTTAAAGAAACTCAACATCTGGGGCAACAGATGGCAGAGCCAGGGGTGTCGAACTGTTATCAAAAGAAGCCAAAATTATAAAACTTTGTCCGAGCCATGGGCCACTTTCAGCTGATACATTAGCTTGAGTCTTTTCTTGGTTGCAGGTTCATGAACAAGAGTTTGATCCGTCTCCTCTGTCCACATCAAAATCAATAATGATAGAATGACCCAGCCTTCTTTCTGGCTTCAAAGTTAGCCAGCTGGCAAGAGAAGTCTACACTAAAATATGTATTTATCAGTTTTTGTTTTTTAAGAAAAAAAATTATAAAAGAGATGAATATTTTACATTTCAATGATCATCTTGGGGGACCAGATTTGACACACCGGTATGTGCTTTAAACTGAATCTGTTCCTCGGCTGTTGAGCTGTTCAATGTCTTCTTATTATGAACTTAAAGATGTCGTCGGTCTGAAGGCAGAGTGGATCCTCGGCGCCTGGAGGGGTCAAAGTTCAGTCACGCCCGTCTGTATTCTTATTGTCGTCTTGTTTGTGCACGATGGATGTTTATTTCCAGACCACGTGTGGCGCAGAGAT